GGGGGGGGCTACAAGCATCACCCTGTATTCTGTTTGCTCAAGATTTTACTTCTGCTGTATGTGCCAATAAAAAGACTCGGCACGACTCACGGCAGATGTGGCAGTTATTAATCCCCAACAGTCCTCAATAGACAATAGACAGTCCTCAATAGACACTAGAAATAGCGTATTGTGTGTAGAGGGGGGGGGGGTACAGCCATTATCCTGTATTCTGTTTGCTCAATTGTACATACCAGTAGTCCAGTAGATAGGTACCACCACATTAGTTAAAAAAAACAAACCTTTTTGCTCGTTTTGTGCAATGAACCTGCCTTCCTACCGTCGCTGTTGTTGTCATGGCGAGAATCACCGCTCATTCAATACCATCGTGATGCTGATAATCCACATCTTTCATCATCCATAACTTCTGTTCACTCACTCACTCACTCACTCACTCACTCTCTCACTCACTCACTCACTCACTCACTCACTCACTCACTCACATTAACTCACTCACTCACTCACTCACTCAGTTACTCATCCACTCACTCACGCACTCACTAGTTCTCTCACTCATTTCATTGAGCTTACTCGGAACTCATATACATGTATGACTTTGTTTCCTTTATTCGTTGTCGTGCTAATCCCTGATTCTAGATATAGAACATAAAGGATTTGTTCAAATGGCTGCCTACTTACAATGAGTGAAAGAAATTCCACCAAAGACTACAAGTCTATATATTTGTCTCCCTACGCAATACACAGTCTTGCAAAGTACATTAATTCCCCTTATTATGTAACAGAAGCTGCCATACTTACATAGTAAGCAATGTGTGACCAAGATAGCTATGTAATGACATGATATGGCAAGGCAGATTGGAAGTTTTCAGTAGTGTCTCCATAGTTAGCTAATCCCGAGTAACGATTTGGTGACAACCAAAGACTACGAGCACATAGTCTTCGTACATACATACATACATACATACATACATAGTCTTGTTAATTAGTACATTAGTTTCCCTCGTTATGCAATTGAAGCTGCCATACTTACAGAGTACGCAATTTGTGAGTAATAATAATAATGACATGATATGGCAGACAGACTGGAGGTGTTCAGTAGTGTCTCCATAGTTAGGCAATCCTTAGTGACTATTTGCTATATCTACTAACGGCTTTACTTTACTCGGGGAGGGTACTTTTACAGGATCTAATGTTGTCCATTACTAGTGCAATGTTGGGATGTGCCAGATTGTCCCCATAGATAAGTTTCATCATATTCAGTGACTGTTCGTAAGAGCTGAGGGCTTTACTGTGATCACCGAGTTTGTGCCAACAGATTCCAATGTTATATAGTGATGAAGCAATGTCGGGATGCGGCGTTGTTTCACCATAGATAGCTTTCATCATCTTCAGTGACTGTTCATGATAACTGATAGCTTTTCTCTGATCACCAAGGTCACCCCAACAGGTCCCAATGTTGTTTAGTGATCCAGCAATGTCGGGATGTGGCGTTGTTTCGCCATAGATAGCTTTCCTCATTTTTAGTGACTGTTCATAATAACTGATAGCTTTCCTCTGATCGCCAAGGTGACTCCAACATGTCCCAATGTTGTGTAGTAATGAAGCAATGTCGGGATGTGGCGTTATTTCGCCATAGATTGCTTTCCTCATCTCCAGTGACTGTTCGTGATAACTGATAGCTTTTCTCTGATCACCAAGGCCACTCCAACAGTTCCCAATGTTGTTTAGTGATTTAGCAATGTCGGGATGTGGCGTTGTTTCGCCATAGATAGCTTTCATCATCTTCAGTGACTGTTCGAAATAACTGATAGCTTTTATCTGATCACCAAGGTCACCCCAACAGGTCCCAATGTTGTTTAGTGATGAAGCAATGTCAGGATGTGGCGTTGTTTCACCATAGATAGCTTTCATCATCTTCAGTGACTGTTCGTAAGAGCTGAGGGCTTTACTGTGATCACCGAGTTTGTGCCAACAGATTCCAATGTTATATAGTGATGAAGCAATGTCGGGATGCGGCGTTGTTTCACCATAGATAGCTTTCATCATCTTCAGTGACTGTTCATGATAACTGATAGCTTTTCTCTGATCACCAAGGTCACCCCAACAGGTCCCAATGTTGTTTAGTGATCCAGCAATGTCGGGATGTGGCGTTGTTTCGCCATAGATAGCTTTCCTCATTTTTAGTGACTGTTCATAATAACTGATAGCTTTTCTCTGATCACCAAGGCCACTCCAACAGTTCCCAATGTTGTTTAGTGATTTAGCAATGTCGGGATGTGGCGTTGTTTCGCCATAGATAGCTTTCATCATCTTCAGTGACTGTTCGAAATAACTGATAGCTTTTATCTGATCACCAAGGTCACCCCAACAGGTCCCAATGTTGTTTAGTGATGAAGCAATGTCAGGATGTGGCGTTGTTTCACCATAGATTGCTTTCATCATCTTCAGTGACTGTTCGAAATAACTGATAGCTTTTCTCTGATCACCAAGCTCACTCCAACGTGTCCCAATGTTGTTCAGTGATGAAGCAATGTCGGGATGCGGCGTTGTTTCACCATAGATAGCTTTCCTCATCTTCAGTGACTGTTCGAAATAACTGATAGCTTTTCTCTGATCACCAAGGTCGTTCCAACATGCCCCAATATTGTGTAGTGATCCAGCAATGCTGGGATGTTCTGTTGTCCCGCCATAGATAGCTTTCTTCATCTTCAGTGACTGTTCGTAATAACTAATAGCTTTTCTCTTATCGCCAAGGTGACTCCAACATGCTCCAATGTTATTTAGTGATGAAGCTATGTCGGGATGTGGCGTTGTTTCGCCATAGATAGCTTTCCATATCTTCAGTGACTGATCGTGACAACTGATAGCTTTTCTCTGATCGCCAAGGCCGCTCCAACATGCCCCAATGTTTCCAAGTAACGAGGAAAGTACGGGACGTATTTCGGTGCCTGCATGAATAGTATTTCCAATGCTAAGTGCCTGTTTGTAGTAGCCGATCGCTTTCTCATAGTCACCGCGCCTGTAAGTGACATTGCCTAGCGCAAAAAGTATTTCAAACTGGTTTTCCTCGTCACCACCGGCCTCTTTTAGTGCTGCCTCAAAGTAACGTACGGATGCGTCTAACTGCAACAGCTGTTGTGTTATTCGACCCCTGGTTTGAGATGAGTTGTCAAAGATGGCTGTTGGGAATATATTTGTGGTTTGATTTTCCTTTTGAACTGTATCGATAAAACATATTTTTAATGGAAAGGCTGTATAGTAGTACCTGAACAACATTTTAGAGTCCGGTATGTGGAAAACTGATTCAACGATGGTGTCATCTACGTCATGTTTGCCCAGTTCGGTTTTCATCTCCGTGAGAGGAGACAGTCTGTCCTTCTGTCCTCCGTTGGCAATGTAAGTTCTTAAACGTAGCTCTGCTGAGATGCTGATCAGCACAGTCAAGTGGTGGGCATCTTCATCACTGATCCGCTGTGTCTTGCGTAACTCTTCTATCGTGCCCCACACACTGGGGATCGTGATACCACAGCAAATACTCAACACTTCAACGGCCACGCTGGGAAAACGGTAGATTTCTTTTTTCACATCCAGAAGTTGGTCCGTTGCTTCAACGTTTTCTATTTGTCCAATATTATCCTTTAGTATTAGAATTGCTGTCAACCGCGACAGAACAGGGGAACGGTCTACGCTTTTGTTAACAATGCTTGTATACTCCTCTACCAAAGACTCATCCTCTGTTAAGTAGGTCACCCGTCTGAGGATGTCTGACAGGTGATAGCCTTCCGCCAGGGCGATGTGCAGATGTTGATATTCGGCCAACTCGGCAGGAGTCTGGATAAGACTAACTGGAGGTTTGCTTTTGGTTTGGTCTCTTCCAAACGGAGTCTTAGACGCCCATGGCATGAAGCCGTCGAAGGCGAAGCCGCGAGGTGTGACGAAGTCGTAGAACCAGTCTTTCTCTGGGTCTTCCGAGAGAAAGTCGTTGAGTGACGGGATGGCCATGGCTGGGAGGATGGTTTCCCCAAGGTTGATGACTTTGAGATGTAAGTAGTGTGTGAGATTTAGGAAGTACCTCCGTGTATCATCATCGACCTTCCCCTCCTCAGTCAGAATGGCGAACTCCAAGTCGGAGTACGGCGTCACCAGTTCTGTGGCTTGTGACCCCAACCCCATGAAAGCGTACTTACAGGGAGGAGGTCCGAGTTTGGCGATGCATTCATCTGTCAGTATTTGGATGAACTCTCGTCTTTCTTTAGTGATGCTCTTGAACAAGTTCTTCATTGCTTCAGCTCGTTTGATCTCTACCTCTCTCACGACGGGATCGTCTTCATCATACTGATAAGGGTTGTGTTGCTGATGAATTATTTCGAGCTGAGATTTTGCACAGGCGCGCGAGTTGTCCAGTTCATTTCTGTGATCTAACGCGCTGCTATACGGATACGGTTCACAGTCTAGGTTACAGGTTTTTCTAAGAAACTGTTTTTCTGTTTCTTGCAGTTTTGTTACCATGTTTTGTTTGTCTCCATCTGTTCTGGCCATGGAGGCGTTATACAGAGCTGCCGCCTGTGTGAATTTCCTACCTTCTGCTGTCCGCTTACCTTGCTCGACGTAGACGTCACCCAACCTGCACAGACAGTCGGCTTCTTTAGCCTTGTTGGGTTTACTGCGATCTGTAGGTATGGAAAAGAAAGACAAAATCCCAACAGTCATATTCAGATTAGTTCCAACGATGATATTTGTTTTCCAACCGGTAGAGGTCATCCGTAAATATTTTCATCAGGTTGGTAAATGACTGAATAGCAACATTCTTTTCAAATGATCTGCCCTAATGAAGATGACAGACGGTCGTCGAAACGTCGGCTAGTGAAAAATAAATGGTTGTGATGAAAAGAACTTTGCTATTTGGTAGAGGTCATTGTACAAATAACATTTTCCATTTGAAATATGACTATTTGGTGCGTGCAAAGAACCTGTATAACAGACCGTGAACAAGCTTCAGGGCGGCTGCTAGGTTCTGCTCCGCTGCATCCAGGTCTCCATTTCTCACATCACGGTCTGCCGTCTGGATGTACCTGCGGTAAGATCTGGACAGCAAAACGCGTTTTGAGAGAAACGTCACAAAGGTGACAAGTACGCTTTGAACTGTTTGGCATGCATAGGAAACACTGCATTGAAGACCAAGCATCAATTAATTGTATTACATGAAATTACATTACAACGTAGGCTTTTCAACAATGTCAAAAAGCAACGTAGCAAGATACTAAATGGCCTCTTATATTTTACAGTTATTTTGATTTGAAAGATTCAACTTTACTGAATACATTTGAAAAGTAAACATAGGACTGACATCTCATTGTTACGTTGACTGGTGGTTTCCTCGCTAGATGGCGCAGCTGAGAAGGGAGAGAAGTGGCCCTTCCGTTCTTGTTGCGTACGTGTTGACCTCTGCGAGAACCAATATTAATCAATAGGTTACCGATTGTGAACTTTGACCAATGGTCAAAGGTGAAGGACGCTACATGATCCGCGGAAGGTCACTTTGTTGCTTAAGCGCTGACCTCTATAAAATCGATAATAAGTCATTGATTGGTAACGTTAATCGTATTAATTCATGGCCAACAAAATTAATCCACAGATCCGCAAAGTTACAGAACACACTATACCCAAATCACAACTTTGTAGACGGAAACAATGACGTAAATATAGGGGAAAAATTTTACAATGTATCAATAAAACGCTTTCGCCATTAGCGACTCGAAATGCATGACGGGTCAGAATCCAGAAGTATAGTTATCACTGGCAAGTTCCGTCATGCCCAAGTCAAAATAGTTCTCTCACCTTGTTTCTTGTTGTGTTGATGTCTTGCCTGATTTTTGAGGTGTGCAGTAAGCGGTGAACAATGACAACTGTTCCATGAACGTTGTGACACCGCGCCAGTGCCCTGTTGTACAGAGCAGTAGCTCTGCTCAAGTTTCTAGTGTTCCCAGTTTCTGTTCCTCTTTTCAGGTACACGTCGCCCAGACTCTTGATCGCTTCTGTTTCTAACATGTCGTTGTCGTTTACTATCGCCTCTACCATAACCTGTGCGTATCCAACCAGCAAAGAGTCTGTGTTACCTCTGGTAGCCCGTCTGTTGTCCAGGGCTTGAAACTTTGCCGCTACCTTTGCAGGTGTAGTCGTCTCCTTGTCTTCTGTTGGCTGTTCCTTACCCTGTGACGACAGCCCTTGTACAAGCCTCTCCGTGTAGTGGTAGCGGTGTTCTATACCATCTGCCTGTTCTTCATGGTAACACCGTACCATAGCAGCAATGTAAAGCGCCAAGGCTGTGTTGAACTTCCCCACGTCCTTCCCGGTTCTTCCCTTCTCCACGTTCACGTCGCCCAGAGTTTTGAGCAGCTCCACTTCCGCCAGCCTGTCCGTGTCGGCCATGGCGTCCACCAGGGCACGGAGGTAGCCTGTCTCCGCCCGGGCTAGTCCGTACCTCCTACCCTTCTCGTCCGCCTCACGGAGTTTCTCACACACCCGCAACATGGCGACGTAAAACTGAGAGAACGTCTGTAAAACTGTTCCCCGTTCTCCGTGCTGGCTTTATGCGCGTGACTCGAGCAAACACAGGTCTGGACAAACATCCCGCTGCTGCTGTCAACATTACATCATCCCTCAGCCGATAACAAGGTCCAAAAGTCCAGTACCCCCACTAGAATATCGATAACACTTGTAAACATGTCAATTACCGTGTTGTGTCAGTTGGTTTAATGTTATGTCATTTATTTCTCCGCACGGATTTTCTCACAACTTAACCCACGGCGTTTTTGTTTATATTCCAACATTTCTTGACTAGACATGGTGACGGCACACTCAAGTTTTATCAACTTATTTTATACCGCCACCAACGCAGATGACGAATATTGGACAGAAAAATAATCATTTTTTTACTTGAGTGAAGTAAGAGGGCCTGCAAGCCCTTTTTCGTAAGGCGCAATCAGGCCGTTTTAGACTTCGTAATTCGTAGGCAGCCTCTGCAAAAATCAACGTAATTCGTAATTGGACATTAGCCGCAAATCGTTAAGTCGTAATCAGCTCTGAGACTTTAACGTAATTCGTAATAGGCGGCGAAAATTTTGCGTAATTCGTAATCACTACCCCCCCCCCCCCTTGCAGACCCTCAAGTAAGGAAAGTCGTGTAAAGTCCATTTCCCAAGGGCATAAGATCGGTGGCATGTCAGGACTCGGACCCGGGACCTCTTGGTTCTAAGTCGAGCACTCTGTCGTTACACCACACGACTCCGCATTGTTTTACCTCTGCTATATGTGGTAATGAAAATATTGTTGTAAAACAAGCCCTAGGACTTTCACGTCACCATTGTCTGCGGGTAAGAACGCTCATAAGGGAAGGGCTGGTGCTGTCCGTGGTGCTGATCATGTCATTCCACTGTTACTAGTATCTGCTACATGTAGATGGTGTATCAGAGTATAGCTCCTTTTAGATCCTCAATAGATCAATAAATAAATAAATAAATAAAATAGACAACTTTGGGGGTGGCTTAATCATACGAAAATGTTTAATATCTGCTTGCCTATTAGAACTGACCAGGAGAGCTTTACAAAGCAGAAATAAGAAGACAACGAAGACACATTTTAATCTGCAAGACATTGTTTTAATCACAAAACGTTTGACTGTCTGAAGTCTTTCTTTCCTCTCAGTTCAGTCCAGGGTCCTAAGAGGACCATGGTCTTATAGGCGAGGCAGAAACGTTCTAGCTTCACTAAATACGGTATTTTTGGAACTTCGATGGGTTGCTACTTTTTCAGGCAAAGGTCTGTCCGTGATTGTCATAAACGGCTTAACATTTCAGCCTGACTGTTTGGTTTAGTTTGAGTTTCTAGCCAGCTCGGGTGTTGCCGTTGCTCTACAGGCATGTGACGAGGTTGGCCCAGTTGCAGAAGCCCAGGGTCTAGTCGAAGTGCTTTGCGTACATTTTCTGACCAGAGATCATAGCAAATATCTCAGAAATTCAGAAACAAGAAGACGACAAGGCCACACCTTAAGTTGCAAGACATCATTTTAATCACATTTTACAGTCTGAAGTCCAGGCCCATAAGAGGCCCATTTACTAAATACTGTATGTTTGGAAATTCAGTGGACTCCTTTTACAACAAAGCTACGCCTGTGATTGTTGGTAGACGGTTTGACTTTTCCAGCCGTACTGTTTGCCTTAGTTTAGGTCTCCAGTCCTACAGGCATGTGACTAGTTCGGCCCAGTTGCAGTTGCCCAGGTCCTGGTCGAAGTACAAGCCGCCTGGGCAGGAGTTGATGCCGTCGTACTGCAGACCGCCCTCCGCACAGGTGAAGAACTTGGAGCAGTCGTCAGGGTGTTGGTACGTTCCGGCTCATGAAATTATTTACGGACGTTTACCTTTAATTTCTTTGATGTCTGAGTAGCCTTTTAGTTACATGGTTGGTAACAGGGAGAAGATTGTTTACTCTTGCCATAGTCAGTTTTTTATCTTTAGATGCAAACATTTCCAAGAATATTCCACAATCTTGAACATGATATGCCAGCATTGATCATATAAGAAAGGGGTCTTCTAAGTGATAGGAGTTTTAAAAATGATACTGTTTTTGTCAAAATGCTGCGATGTTGTTCTAAAAAAAGTGCCAGTAATACTATTAGAAAGATTTTTGTTCTCTACCGCTAGCTCTCTGGTTGCAGAACCAGTGACACGGAAGTGAATCTTGTACCTATATTCCATTCAACCACTGTAATGAGTAAAAATGTATGCAATGTATACAGATGAAGAGATATTATGTAAGAAGACAGTGACCATAGGACTGTGTTATTCTGGACACAATAGTGATAGATTTCAAGTTTTTAGGCAAGCTGTGGCAGACCCAACTGCAGACAAGGATCGAATGCAGATTTTTTAAACAGTGAATTTTTTCAGGCAGGATGCACGCACAGCTATCCCAAGAGTGACTTCAATTTGCAATCGTACTATGTGACCTGCCCCTGAGTGGCATCAAGTGCACATTGTGACGTAAACTCTACAGTTTGCCTAACATTGTACTGTTTGTACTGTAAAACCTGTGAAGATATTGTGAAGAAGGGAAACCACTTTATTGTTGTTGTTCCATTTACATTTGTTCATAAAGTAAAAGGCAAACGTAACATCAAAAGCCGTTTCAGGCCTCCTGAAGATTTCTTGCGTATCTTTTGCAAATTAATTTTTGATTTGATTTATTGAAATTGTCATAGTGTAATACACGCGGAACATACTAGTAGGCAGCTGTTGCTGGTGTTGTGTCCCGCACATAGAAACGAATACTGGACAGACGATGTAGTGGGGAAAGTCGTGTTAAGTGCCTTTCCCAAGGGCACAAGATCGGTGGCATGTCAGGGTTCGAACCCGAGACCTCTTGATTCCGAGTCGCGAACACTGCCGTTGCGCCACACGACCCCACTGCAAAATTAGAAAAGTACTTGGAGATGGAATCCTCCACCCTCCTTGCCTTTACCTTTGCACACTTGTAATCTGCAATTTGAGAGATCTTCCCAAAGAATCATCCCAAAACACAATGTCCATGATACAGAAAACCCCTTTAAGATCCTTTCATGACTATAACCTTAGGATTAGTCCTGTCCACCATGTTGATCATCCGCATCTTTCATCCACCATAACTTCTGTTCATTCATTCACTCACTCACTCACTCACTCACTCGGAACCGGTGCAATAGCTCAATTGGTAGAGTGATCGCTTTGTAACCGGGAGGTCGTGAGTTCAAACCCCGGCCAGGTCATACCAAGGACTTTAAAAATGGTACACACTTCTTTCTGTGCTTAGAACTCAGCACATATGAGGACAGTGTGGGAAGGTCAAACACACAGCACTACCAACACACTAGCCCCCTGCTGTAGTTCCTTGCACAACTGTGTGTCGCCCAAAGGCTACGAAATGGAGATGGGCACCACCCTACACTCGGCATAAGGGGAGACCTTCCATTCACTCACTCATTTCATTGAGCTTACTTGGAACTCATATGCATGTATGACTTTGTTTCCTTTATTCATTGTTGTGACAGAGAGAGAGAGAGAGAGACTGGTTTATTTGTACTATGTAAGTACACACAAAAGCCTGTAAGCAGCCATATTTGGCTGAATTGAGAAGGCTTTAAGACATAAAATGCGCTTGTAGTACAGCTATTTGATAAAAGTTAGTTACATTTGATAAAAACCTATTCGTTGCATATCAAGTTTACCTTAAAAATTACCACACGTTAAAAGTACAATAATGTATAATATAAACACAGTCGTGCTAATCCCTGATTCCAGATATGGAACATAAAGGAAGGAATATTGTCCAAATGGCCGCGTACTTACAATGAGTGCAAGAAATTCCACCAAAGACTACAAGTATATAGTCTCCCTATGCAATACATAGTCTTGCAAAGTACATTAATCCCCTTATTATGTAATAGAAGCTGCCATACTTACATAGTAAGCAATTTGTGACAAAGATAGCTATGTAATGACATGATATGGCAAGGCAGATTGGAGGTGTTCAGTAGTGTCTCCATAGTTACCTAATCCTGAGTGACGATTTGCTATAACTACTAACGGTTTTACTCTACTCGTGGAGGGTACTTTTACATGATCTGATATTGTTAAGTACTTTTGCAATGTCGGGATGTTCCGGATTGTCCCCATAGATAACTTTCATCATGTCCAATGATTGTTTCAAATACCACATGGCTTTACTGTGATTACCGAGATGTTTCCAACATGTCCCAATGTTGCTTAGTGATTTAGCAATGTCGGGATGTGGTGTAGTTTCCCCATAGATAGCTTTCATCATCTTCAGTGACTGTTCGTAATAACTGATAGCTTTCCTCCCATCACCAAGGTCACTCCAACACAACCCAATGTTGTTTAGTGATGATGCAATGTGGGGATGTGGCGTTGTTTCGCCATAGATAGCTTTCATCATCTTCAGTGATTGTTCGTGATAACTGATAGCTTTTCTCTGATCACCAAGGTCACTCCAACATGCCCCAATATTGTTTAGTGATGAAGCAATGTAGGGATGTGGCGTTGTTTCCCCATCGATAGCTTTCATCATCTTCAGTGACTGTTTGTGATAACTGATAGCTTTCGTTTGATCACCAAGGTCACTCCAACATTTTCCAATGTTATTTAATGATACAGCAATGTCGGGATGTGGCGTTGTTGCGCCATAGATAGCTTTCCGCATCTTTAAGGACTGTTCGAAGTAAATGACAGCTTTCCTCTGATCACCAAGGTGACTCCAACATACCGCAATGTTGTTTAGTGGTGCAGCAGTGTCGGGATGTAGCGTTGTTTCACCGTAGATAGCTTTCCACATCTTCAGTGACTGTTCGTAATAACTGATAGCTTTCCTCTGATCACCAAGCTCACCCCAACATGCCCCAATGTTGTTTAGTGAAGAAGCAATGTCGGGATGTGGCGTTGTTTCATCGTAGATAGCTTTCATCATCTTCAGTGACTGTTTGTAATAACTGATAGCTTCCCTCTGATCACCAAGGTCACTCCAACTCTTCCCGATGTTGTTGAGTGAAGAAGCAATGTTGGGATGTGTCGTTGTTTCACCGTAGATAGCTTTCATCATCTTCAGTGACTGTTCGTGATAACTGATAGCTTTCCTCTGATCACCAAGCTGAATCCAACAGGTCCCAATGTTTAGCAAGTAACGAGGAAAGTACAAGACTCAGTTTGTGTCTGCATAAATATTATTTCGAGCGCTCAGTGCCCGTTCGTAGTAGCTCTTCCCTTTCTTATAGTCACCGCGACTGAGTGAGACACTGCCTAACGCAAAAAGTATGTCAAACTGCTTTTCCTCGTCACCACGTGCACCCGCTTCTTCTAGTGCTGCCTCGAAGTGGCGTGTGGAGGCTTCTAACTGCAACAGCTGTTTTGTTATTAGACCCCTGGTTTGAGCTGGCAGAAAATGGCAGTTGGGAATATCTTTGCTGTTCGATTATCCTTTTCAACTGTAACTACAATGCATCTTTTTAATGGAATGGCTGTATAGTAGTACCTGAACAACATTTTAGAGTCTGGTATGTGGAAAACTGACTCAACGACGGTGTCATCTACGTCATGTTTGTCCAGTTGGACTTTCATCTCCGTGAGAGGAGACAGTCTGTCCTTCTGTCCTCCGTTGGCAATGTACGTTCTTAACCGTAGCTCCGCTGAGATGCTGATCAGTACAGTCAAGTGGTGGGCATCTTCGTGACTGATCCGCTGTGTCTTGTGTAACTCTTCTATCATTCCCCACACACTGGGGATCGTGATACCACAACAAATACTCAAAACATCAACGGCCACGCTGGGAAAACGGTAAACTTCCTTCTTCACATCCAGAAGTTGCGCCGTTGGCTCAACGTTTTCTATTTGTCGAATATTATCCTTCAGTATTTGCATTGCTGATAACCGTGACAGAACAGGGGGACGGTCCACGCTTTTGTTGACTCTGTTCACATAATCTTCCACCAAAGACTCGTCCCCTGTTAAGTACGTCACCCGTCTGAGGATGTCTGACAGGTGATAGCCTTCCGCCAGGGCGATGTGCAGATGCTGATATTCGGCCAACTTGGCAGGAGTCTGGATGAGACTAACAGGAGGTTTGCTTTTGGTTTTGTCTCTTCCAAACGGAGTCTTAGAGGCCCATGGCATGAAGCCGTCGAAGGCGAAGCCACGAGGTGTGACGGAGTCGTAGAACCAGTTTTTCTCTGCGTCTTCTGAAAGAAAGTCGTTGAGTGACGGGATGGCCATGGCTGGGAGGATGGTTTCTCCAAGGTTGATGACTTTGAGATGTAAGTAGTGTGTGAGATTTAGGAAGTACCTCCGTGTATCATCATCATCCTTCCCCTCCTCAATCAGAATGGTGAACTCCAGGTCGGAGTACGGCGTCACCAGTTCTGTGGCCTGTGACCCCAACCCCATGAAAGCGTACTTACAGTGAGGAGGTCCGAGTTTGGCGATGCATTCATCCGTCAGTACTTGGATAAACTCTTGTCTTTCAACTGTGATACTCTTGAACAAGTTCTTGATTGCTTCAGCTCGTTTGATCTCTACCTCTCTCACGACGGGATCGTCTTCATCATACTGATAAGGGTTGTGTTCCTGATGAATTGTTTCGAGCTGAGATTTTGCACGGGCGCGCGAGTTGTGCAGTTCCTTTCTGTGATCTAACGCGCTGCTATACGGACACGGTTCACAGTCAAGGTTACAGGTGTTTCCAAGAAACTGCCTTTCTGTTTCTTGCAATTTTGTTACCATGTTTTGTTTGTCTCCATCTGTTCTAGCCATGGAGGCGTTATACAGAGCTGCCGCCTGTGTGAATTTCCTACCTTCTCCTGTCCGCTTACCTCGCTCGACGTAGACGTCACCCAGCCTGCACAGACAGTCAGCTTCTTTAGCCTTGTTGGGTTTACTGCGATCTGTGGGTAGGAATTTAAAAGGGTCAGACAGGAGCAAAGATGTGAACTTATTGGATTAAGTTAATACAAAACCAAGTTTCCTTTTATTTTGGAGGAAAATAGGCTAATCAAAATGTGAGTGAAAAATCAAGAGAAGACTTAAAGCAGTTATAATATGTAGGAATCAAAAGTTTAAACAGACCATGAACCAGCTTTAGGGCGGCTGCTAGGTTCTGCTCTGCTGCGTCCAGGTCTCCATTTCTCACGTCACGGTCTGCCGTCTGGATGTACCTGCGGTAGGATCTGGACAACAAAACGCGTTTTGAGAGAAACGTCACAAAATTAAGGTGACAAGTACGCTTTGAACTGTTTGACATGCATAGGATACACTGCATTGAAGACCAAGCATCAATTAATTGTATTACATGAAATTACATTACAACGTAGGCTTTTCAACAATGTCAAAAAGCCTACGTAGCAAGACACTAAATGGCCTCTTATATTTTACAGTTATTTTGAAAGATTCAACTTTACTGAATACATTTGAAAAGTAAACATAGGACTGACATCTCATTGTTACGTTGACTGGTGGTTTTCTCGCTAGATGGCGCAGCTGAGAAGGTAGAGAAGTGGCTCTTCCGTTCTTGTTGCGTACGTGTTGACCTCTGCGAGAACCAATATTAATCAATAGGTTACCGATTGTGAACTTTGACCAATGGTCAAAGGTGAAGGACGCTACGTGATCCGCGGAAGGTCACTATATTGCGTAGGCGCTGACCTCTACAAAACCCGATAACAAGTCATTGATTGGTAACGTTAATAGTGTTAATTAACTGTTACTTGATGGCCAACCCACAGATAAAAGATAGCGAAAAACCAATGTGTTCTGTGCTCAAAGATACAGAACACACTCTACCCAAATCACAACTACCTACCTACCTAATCACAACTATATGGACGGAAACAATGAAGTAAATACTAGCACAGTGAAAACAACGTTTTTTTTACAATGTTCCAATAAAAAGCTTTCGCCATTAGCGGTTCGAAATGCATGACGGGATATATGGAGATAAACAAACAGAGTACTGGCGAGTTTCGTGCTCAAGTCAAAATAGTTCTCTCACCTTGTTTCTTGTTGTGGTGATGTCTTGTCTGACTTTTGCGGTGTGTAGTAAGCGGTGAACAATGACAACTGCTCCATGAACGTTGTGACACCGCGCCAGTGCCCTGTTGTACAGAGCAGTAGCTCTGGTCAAGTATCTAGTGTCCCCAGTTTCTGTTCCTCTTTTCAGGTACACGTCACCCAGACTCTTGATAGCTTCTGTTTCTAACATGCTGTTGTCCTTTACTATCGCCTCTACCATCACCTGTGCGTATCCAACCAGCAAAGAGTCTGTGTTACCTCCGGTAGCCCCTCTCTTGTCCAGATCTTGAAACTTTGCCGCTACCTTTGCAGGTGTAGTCGTCTCCTTGTCTTCTGTTGGCTGTTCCTTACCCTGTGACGACACCCCTTGTAAAAGCCTCTCCGTGTAGTGGTAGCGGTGTTCTATACCATCTGCCTGTTCTTCATGGTAACACCGTACCATGGCAGCCAGATAAAGCGCCAAGGCTGTGTTGAACTTCCCCACGTCCTTCCCGAGTCTTCCCTTCTCCACGTTCACGTCGCCCAGAGTTTTGAGCAGCTCCACTTCCGCCAGCCTGTCCGTGTCGGCCATGGCGTCCACCAGGGCACGGAGGTAGCCTGTCTCCGCCCGGGCTAGTCCGTACCTCCTGCCCTTCTCGTCCGCCTCACGGAGTTTCTCACACACCTGCAACATGGCGACTTTCTGCTACGAAAACGTCTCTAAACTCCTTGTCTTCACGGTCTCCGTACTAGCTTTTTGCGTCTGACTTGAATAGGCACAGGTTTCGCACTGCTTGTGTCAACATTACGTCATCCGCCAATACAAAGGTCAAAGGTTCAATGCACAAAAAGTTCGGAAATACCCGTGTCCGTAAACATATCAGGTAACCTGCGTACGTGCCTAAGCCTTAAGTGTTCAGGCCAGGGCCTCTTTCATGCATATGTTTAACACAGTCCCCCAGGTAGCCTGGTTTTTCGTCGCCACCACTGCAACTTTAGGTGCTTAAATTAAGTCCAGTGTCGTCTTTGATAAGATCTTTCTACCATGTTGGGTCTTTCATGTGGTCTCGTGTTGTTCGGGAAACCCAGCTGGTATACCTTAGGTCATATTTGTACAATCGGGAATTACAGTACATTGGTGTGGCGAGTGACCCCAACTAAACATGAGAATTCCCTATTCGCCGAAAGGTCTACTCTGCTCTATTATTATGTACTGTGCAGTCCGATAGCCAGTCTCCGCAAGGGCTAGTCCGTACCTCCTGCCCTTGGCGTTCGCCTTACGGAGTTTTTCACACACCCGAAACATTTTACTTCTGCTCTGTGTGGTATTAAAAAGATTGTGGAAAAACAAGACCTATCATGTCATCATTGTCTGCTGGTAAGAACGCACATAAGGTTACGGCTGGTGCTGTCCTTGGTACTGATCATGTCATTCCGCAGGCACCTGCTAGATGGCGCAGCAACACAGTATAGCTGCTGCTAGATCGGCACGATTCACGGCAGATGCGGCAGTTATTAGTCCTCATCAGTCCTCAATAGACAACTATGGGTGTGGCTGATATGTATGTAGAAATAGCGTATTGTGTGTGTGTGTGGGGGGGGGGGGGTACAACCATCATCGTATATTCTGTTTGCTCAATTGTACATACCAGTAGTCCAGTAGATACGTATCACCACATTAGTTAATAAAAAAACAATTATATTTGATCGTTTTGTTCTGTTGCAATGAACCTGCCTTCTTACCGTCGCTGTTGTTGTCATGGTGAGAATCACCGGCTCATTCAATACCATCGTGATCTGTATCTGTATCTGTATCTGTATAGCCGGTATAACCGCCTTTCGGCGTAACACACCAGCTTCGCAGGCACGCGGCGCGGCGGCAGCTGGCTATATTACACCGATCGACTTGTTACACCTAACCCTTGAACTTCTAGCTCTAGACATTGTTTAAAGCTATCTATTGACAATGCCCCTACTGTACTTGGTGACAGTGAGTTCCACTCTGCGATAGTTCTAGGAAAGAATGAATTCTTGAACACCTCAATCCTTGGTTGATAACTCTGGTACTTGAATGCGTGGCTATTTCTTGTTCTCTTCTGGGCTGGTATTAGGTACTTAGTAGTTGGTACGTCCACCAGTTTATTAGTGATGCTGATAATCTTTCATCATCCATAACTTCTGTTCACTCACTCACTCACTCAGTCACTCAGTCACTCACTCACTCACTCACTCACTCACTCACTCACTCACTCACCCACTCACTCACTCACTCACTCACTCACCCACTCACTCACTCACTCGCTCACTCAATCACTCACTCATTTCATTGAGCTTACTCGGAACTCATATACATGTATGACTTCGTTTCCTTTATTCATTGTCGTGCTAATCCCTGATTCTAGATATAGAACATAAAGGAATTGTCCAAATGGCTGCCTACTTACAACGAGTGCAAGAAATTCCACAAAAGACTACAAGTATATCTATTAGTCTCCCTATGCACTAAATAGTCTTGCAAAGTACATTGATACATTAGGTACATGTACTTGAAAAGTACATTAATACATGTAATGGAAACTGCCATACTTACACAGTAAGCAATTTGTGACAAAGATAGCTATGTAATGACATGATATGGCAAGGCAGATTGGAGGTGTTCAGTGGTGTCTCCATAGTTAGCTAATCCTGAGTGACGGTTTGCTATAACTACTTTTACTAACGACTTTACTCTACTCGTGTAGGGCACTTTTACATGACTGAATGTTGTTCAGTACTTTTGCTATGTTGGGATGTGCTGGATTGTCCCCATAGAATACTTTCATCATATTCAATGATTGTTCGAAATACCTCATGGCTTTACTGTGATTACCGAGATGTTTCCAACATGCCCCAATGTTGTTTAGTGTTGAAGAAATGTCGGGGTGTGGCGTTGTTTCGCCATAGATAGCTTTCCTCATCTTCAGTGACTGTTCAGAATAACTGATAGCTTTCCTCTGGTCACCAACGTTGCCCCAGCATATCCCAATGTTGTTTAGTGATGAAGCAATTTCGGGATGTGGCGTTGTTTCCCCATAGATAGCTTCCCTCATCTTCAGCGACTGTTCGTGGTAACTAATAGCTTTCCTCTGATCACTAAGGTCACTCCAACATGTCCCAATGTTGCTTAGTGATTTAGCAATATCGGGATGTGGCGTTGTTTTGCCATAGATAGCTTTGCTCATCTTCAGTGACTGTTCATAATAACTGATAGCTTTTCTCTGATCACCAAGGTCACTCCAACAGGTCCCAATGTTGTTTAGTGATTTAGCAATGTTAGGATGTGGCGTTGTTTTGCCATAGATAGCTTTCATCATCTTCAGTGACTGCTCGTAATAACTGATAGCTTTTCTCTGATCACCAAGGTGACTCCAACAGCTCCCAATGTTGTTTAGTGATGAAGCAATGTCGGGATGTGGCGTTGTTTCCCCATAGATAGCTTTCTTCATCTTCAAAGACTGTTCGTGATAACTAAGAGCTTTCCTCTGATCACCAAGGTCACTCCAACATAACCCAATGTTGTTTAGTGATGACGCAATGCCTGAATGTGGCGTTGTTTCGCCATAGATAGCTTTTTCCATCTTCAGTGACTGTTCATAATAACTGATAGCTTTTCTCTGATCACCAAGATCACTCCAAAATTTCCCAATGGTGATAAGTGATTTAGCAATATCGGGATGTGGCGTTGTTTTGCCATAGATAGCTTTCCTCATCTTCAGTGACTGTTCATAATAACTGATAGCTTTTCTCTGATCACCAAGGTCACTCCAACATTTCCCAATGTTGTTTAGTGATTTAGCAATGTCGGGATGTGGCGTTGTTTCGCCATAGATAGCTTTCCTCATGTTTAGTGACTGTTCGTGATAACTGATAGCTTTCCTCTGATCACCAAGGTCACACCAACAGTTCCCAATGTTGTTTATTGATGAAGCAATGTAGGGATGAGGCGTTGTTTCGCCATAGATAGCTTTCATCATCTTCAGTGACTGTTCGTGATAACTGATGGCTTTTCTCTGATAACCAAGATCATTCCAACAGGTCCCAATGTTGTTTAGTGATGAAGCAATGTTTGGATGTGGCGTTGTTTCGCCATAGATAGCTTTCATCATCTTCAGTGACTGCTCGTAATAACTGATAGCTTTTCTTTGATCACCAAGGTGACTCCAACAGCTCCCAATGTTGTTTAGTGATGAAGCAATGTCGGGATGTGGCGTTGTTTCCCCATAGATAGCTTTCGTCATCTTCAGTGACTGTTCGTAATAACTGATAGCTTTTCTCTGATGGCCAAGGTCGCTCCAACATAACCCAATGTGGTTTTGTGATTTAGCAATGTTGGGATGTGGCGTTGTTTCACCATAGATAGCTTTCTCCATCTTCAGTGACTGCTCGTAATAACTGATAGCTTTTCTCTGATCACCAAGGTTACTCCAACAGTTCCCAATGTTTCCAAGTAACGAGGAAAATACGGGACTCAGTTTTTTGTGTGCATAAATACTATTTCCAGCGCTAAGTGCCCGTTCGTAGTAGCTCTTTGCTTTCTCATAGTCACCGCGACTGTGCGAGACATTGCCTAACTCAAAAAGTATCTCCATGTGTTTTTCCTTGTCACCACTCGCCTCCTCCAGTGCTGCTTCCAAGTGACGTACGGATGCGTCTAACTGCAACAGCTGATGTGTTATTCGACCCCTGGTTTGAGATGAGTTGTCAAAAATAGCTGTTCGGAATAACTTTGTGGTTTGATCCTTCTTAATTTGAACTGTGTCCATAATGCATCTTTTTAATGGAAAGGCTGTATAGTAGTACCTAAACAACATTTTAGAGTCCGGTATGTGGAAAACTGACTCAACTACCGTGTCATCTACGTCATGTTTCCCCAGTTCGGTTTTCATCTCCGTGAGAGGAGACAGTTTGTCCTTCTGTCCTCCGTTGGCAATGTAGGTTCTTAACCGTAGCTCCGCTGAGATGCTGATCAGTACAGTCAAGTGGTGGGCATCTTCGTGACTGATCCGCTGTGTCTTCTCTAACTCTTCTATCATTCCCCATACACTGGGGATCGTGATACCGCAGCAAATACTCAATATATCAACGGCCACGCTGGGAAAACGGTAGATTTCCTTCTTCACATCCAGAAGTTGGTCGGTTGGTTCAACATTGATTATTTCCCGAATGTCATCCTTCAGTATTAGCATTGCTGACAACCGTGACAGAGCAGGGGAACGGTCTACGCTTTTGTTGACAATGGTTGTATACTCATCTACCAAAGACTCATCTCCTGTTAAGTAGGTCACCCGTCTGAGGATGTCTGACAGGTGATAGCCTTCCGCTAGAGCTATTCTGATATACTGATACTTGGCCAGGTCGGCAGGAGTCTGGATGAGACTAACGGGAGGTTTGCTTTTGGTTTCGTCTCTTCCAAACGGAGTCTTCGAAGCCCATGGCATGAAGCCGTCGAAGGCAAAGCCGCGAGGTGTGACAGAGTCGTAGAACCAGTCTTTCTCTGGGTCTTCTGAGAGAAAGTCGTTGAGTGATGGGATGGCCATAGCTGGGAGGATGGTTTCCCCAAGGTTGATGACTTTCAGATGTAAGAAGTGTGTGAGATTTATGAAGTACCTCCGTGTATCATCATCATACTTCCCCTCCTCAATCAGAATGGCGAACTCCACGTCGGAGTATGGCGTCACCAATTCTGTGGCCTGTGACCCCATGCCGATGAAAGCGTACTTACAGGGAGGAGGTCCGAGTTTGGCAATGCATTCATCTGTCAGTACTTGGATAAACTCCTGCCTTCTAACTGTGATGCTCTTAAACAAGTTCTTGATTGCCTCAGCTCGTTTGATCTCTACCTCTCTCACGACGGGATCGTCTTCATCATACTGATAAGGGTTGTGTTCCTGATGAATCGTTTCGAGCTGAGATTTTGCACGGGCGCGCAAGTTGTCCAGTTCCTTTCTGTGATCTAACGCGCTGCTATACGGACACGGTTCACAGTCAAGGTTACAGGTGTTTCTAAGAAATTGCCTTTTTGTTTCTTGCAGTTTTGTTTTCATGTTTTGTTTGTCTCCATCTGTTCTGGCCATGGAGGCGTTATACAGAGCTGCCGCCTGTGTGAATTTCCTACCTTCTCCTGTCCGCTTACCTCGCTCGACGTAGACGTCACCCAACCTGCACAGACAGTCAGCTTCTTTAGCCTTGTTGGGTTTATTGCGATCTGTTGGTAGGAATTAAAAAAGATGAGATAGAAGCAAAGCTGTCCACTTATTTTCAACTTAATACAGAATTAAGTCTCCCACGATAAAGGAAATAGACTAATAGAATCGTCAATGAAAAGTTAGGACCAGACGTAAGATTATATTATGTATGTATGTATGTATGAATGAATGAATGAAAAGTTTAACAAACCATGAACCAGCTTCAGGGCGGCTACGAGGTTCTGCTCTGCTGCGTCCAGGTCTCGATTTCTCACATCATGGTCTGCCGTCTGGATGTACCTGCGGTAGGATCTGTACAACAAAATGAGTTTTGAGGCAAATTTACATCAATAGGCGACAAATGCACTACAAAGTATTAGACATAGACTATACTGCAAAGAAGATTAAGCATCTATTATTAGTATTACATAAAATTGAACTACCTTGTCTTATCAACGTCTCACGTCACAAATTAACGTTCTACACAGTAGAAATTGATAATACATTTCTGCCAAGCAAGATACTACTAGTAAATGGCCCCTTGTTCATGTTTTATAGTTATTTTGAATCACAAGTAAACATAGAAGCACTAACATGTCATTGTCAACTTGACAGGTGGTTCCGTCGCTAGAGGGTGCAGCTGAGAAGGCAGAGAGGTGGCCCTTTCGTCCTCTAAAGCCTTGTTGTTTCTGCGGGAACCGATAGTAAGATATGATTAACAGGTGGTCATGTAATCCACAAAGAGCTTTGTCCAATGGTCAAAGGTAAATGACCTGACATGACCCGTGGCAGACCAACGCAAGCTGAGAGTATGTTGAATATAGAGTACTTGGGGGTGGGGGGCGGATATAAAATAAGATGACTGTTTGTTTATTTGGACAACATTTAACTGTAAGGGAGAAATAAGACATATTCCATCATATTGTCAAGATGTACACATTCAGGCCCACGGACCAAAATGCATGCATCTTCATAGCTTCTTACACTATTCTGTCGTCAAAGATTTAGTACAAAGTCCACCATACTTTTGTTCAGAATGACGTTTAAGCAAAGGCGTTAATACATCAAAATGAGAAGTTGGTATCATTCTAGCGCAAAAAAGCCCCTGACCTTAAGCGATACGATACGCTTGACGCCATTAGCGGCACGAAATGCAAGGCGGGATTTATGGAGTGGGAACCCGGAAGTCAGCACTAGAGAGTTCCGTCATGCTCAAGTAAAATAGTTCTCTCACCTTGTTTCTTCTGGTGATGTCTTGTCTGATTTTTGCGGTGTGCAATAAGCGGTGAACAATGACAACTGTTCCATGAACGTTGTGACACCGCGCCAGCGCCCTGTTGTACAGAGCAGTAGCTTTAGTCAAGTTTCTAGTGTTCCCAGTTTCAGTTCCTCTTTTCAGGTACACGTCACCCAGGCTCTTGATCGCTTCTGTTTCTAACATGTTGTTGTCCTTTACTATTGCCTCTACCATCACCTGTGCGTATCCAACCAGCAAAAAGTCAGTGTTACCTCCGGGAGCCCGTCTCTTGTCCAGATCTTGAAACTTTGCCGCCACCGTTGCAGGTGTAGTCGTCTCCTCGTCTTCAGTTGACTGTTCCTTACCCTGTGACGACACCCCTTGTAATAGCCTCTCTGTGTAGTTGTAGCGGTGTTCTATACCATCTGCCTGTTCTTCATGGTAACACCGCACCATAGCAGCAATGTAAAGCGCCAAGGCTGTGTTGAACTTCCCCACGTCCTTCCCGAGTCTTCCCTTCTCCACGTTCACGTCGCCCAGAGTTTTGAGCAGCTCCACTTCCGCCAGCCTGTCCGTGTCGGCCATGGCGTCCACCAGGGCACGGAGGTAGCCTGTCTCCGCCCGGGCTAGTCCGTACCTCCTGCCCTTCTCGTCCGCCTCACGGAGTTTCTCACACACCCGCAACATGGCGACTTTCTGCTACAAAATGTCCCTAAAACTCCTTGTCTTCACGGTCTCCGTGTTAACATCATGCGCCTGACTTGAACAGGCACAGGTTTCACACTGCTTGTGTCAACATTACGTCATCCGCCAATACAAAGGTCAGAGGTTCAATACACAAAAGGTTCGGAAATACCCGTAAACTGTAAACATATCAGGTAACCTGCGTACGTGCCCATGGCTTAAGTGTTCAGGCCAGGGCCTCTTTCATGCATATGTTTAACACAGTTTCCCAGGTAGCCTGGTTTTTCGTCGCCACCACTGCGTATTTAGGTGCTTAAATTAGGTCCAGTGTTGTCTTTGATATAAGATCTTTCTACCATGTTGGGTCTTTTATGTGGTCTCGTGTTCGGGAAACCCCGCTGGTATACCTTAGGCCATATTTGCACAATCGTGAATGAAAGTACATGGGTGTGGTGAGTGACCCCAACTAAACACAAGAATTCCCTATTCGCCGAAAGGTCTACTCTACTCTATTATTACCTTCGCCAAGAAGGTTATGTTTTCAGTAGCGTTTGTCTGTGTGTGTGTGTGTTTGTGTGTGTGTGTGTTGTT